GTTGGATAATGGATGGATGCCTTGATGCACAATTCAATTTTTATTTCAACTGGTGCGAATTTGCATGCATTTGTATTGATTTTAATTTTTAGCTGATTAACGATACACTCCCTAACGAGAGATAGATGGATGGATGGATGGATGGATAGATTGCAGCACACCTTCAAAAAAAAGAAAAACAACTGAACATTGCAACAGTCACCTGACTGATTTATTATCTTATCATCATATCTATTTCTATTATTAAAAATCTATGCATATACCACGGCATACCACAAAATTGATGAAAATGATTCAAAGGGACTATTGACTGATTAGTATGATTTTGATAGTTCTGTGGATGTGTTTTTTCCATAGGTTAGACAGGATCAACAGAAAAATCGATCTTTAGTGTTTGGTCACCAACACGTGGTCAAATGTCTTAGGAGTCATGTGACTAGGAACAAGGATAGCTCATAGCAATCAGAGGAAAGCGTATTCTTACCTTGAGGTGTAATATATTAGTGTTTGTGTATTTGTTTGTATATGTATACACAGGTACTGTAGGTGTTTTGTGTCCACAGAACCTAGACTTCCACCAAGCAGACATGATTTGATGTTGAATTATTAAATCCTCGACAAACAGTCAAGTGATTGCCTCACCCTTAAAAGCAAATCCTCTTTTGGCTCCGTGTTTGTAGAAGGAACTGAAATCTCAACCTGAAATTTTTATATTCTTGGTGTTGCTGTTGTTTGAACATACTGTAAGCAGAACAGAAGCTGTCAAGTTTTAGTGTCTTGAGTTTAAAAAAAAACAAAACTTTTTTCCGCTGCGAAACTGGAATAGCATGTGCTGTCATACGGTCGCCACTAGGGGGTGATCCAGCTTAAAAAAAGCGGCCAATTATTGTCACTAGTTGCAATACTAATCTACATATACGAGAGACAGACAGAAAGGGATTTCCGAGCCCCATCTAGATTTTGTAGGTGAACAGAAAGTGAGCAGAGCATTTGTGCCAGTAGCGCATAAGACAGTGTTGGAATAATCTGTGTTGCAGAATTTCAGCGTTTCAACAAACAAATGAACAGAGACGGATAGTGTTGGTTAACGTTCAACAAAAAACCGACTTGGTGAGGTGTAAATTCCTCATCTGAAAGCACTTTGTTTGTTGTCAGATCCATTTCAACCTCTGTCCTATTTGAAAATGTCTGAAAATGCATCCATCCAAGAAGTCTATATTTACCTCGGCAGCTGTGTGTTGGCTGCACCTCAATCTTCTGCCCCAATGGAAGACTAGATTAGAGATAAATGACGAATCATCCTTTAGCTGCAGCTACACTGAACAGTTTTTTTATATACAAAGTACACAAAAGAAATGAAAAGTCCTATTTCCTACTTTAAAAAAAAATAAAAAATTTTAACAAAGCATATATATTGTGTAACATTAAAGGCTGTTGACCGTGTTGAATAAGTTGCAAAATTAATTAAATATTTTTCTATGTATTTTAATGCATTGGCAGAATGTATAGCCCATAATTTTATCCTACATGCTATAGATATATACCGTATTTTCCCACGCTTTGAACCATGCGGCTTATACAAAGATGCGGCTTTTCTATGGATTTTTCTTCAGCCGCCAGGGGGCGTTCTAGCAGGAAGTGCAAAAACAAGACAGAAAGGGGACGTCAGTGCAAAGAAGAACACGCTAGTTTTTATTTAGCACATGCAACACAACACGCACGACAGCGAATTATTTTCACACCCCCACCCTCTCATCATGCAAAGCACACGAAGAAGTTCGTACGATCTCTCATCATGCAAAGCACACGAAGAAGCTCGTACGGTGGCGGTTTATAGTCCAGTGCGGCTTATTTTCAGGTGTGCTCTATAGTCCGGAAAATACGGTATATGTAAGTCGCTTTAGATAACAGCGTCTGCTAAATGTAATGTAATGTCATATGAATATATTTACATATATTATATATGTATGCGTATCTATCTATAAATATATCTATAAATATATATACTCTTTTATTATATTTTTGTCTTCCTGTCAAGACAAGTGCCACCATTTTGACCTGCGCTGCCCCCGTGTTGTCCCATGTTCATTTCCTCCGGTGGTGCCTTCAGATACAACTCCGACCGTTCCGTACTTCAATGTGTCTTGACATCTGCACTTTTAACTCCCCCTGTGGTAATGCGTTTCTGTTTTACACAGACTGCTTAAAATAACCCAGATCATACTCCGGCGGCGGAGGGATGCACAGCTGTTAGGGGCTGCTGGGTAGACTGCTCGGGATTGAAGCGTGTATGCGTGTGTGTGTGTGTAGATGACTTGGTGTGGATATTTTTAGTTTGTAATTTTTTAAAAATACAATTAAATATTTCTTATGAAGTGCGCGCACTGACAGGGAACAGGAAACTAAGAGAGCTTATTTGTCACGTAGATAATTGCATTTTAGAAAAATTATGAACAGGGAAATAAATCTAACGACTTCTGTATTCTGTCACGTTGCTTTAGTGTTGGGTCAAAAAATATAATTTATCGCATTTATGATTATTATTATTATTATTGTATCTATAAAAACAGAACACGAGGTGCTAACTGTAAACCTAAACTCTTTGTAAACCCTTTGTTTTCATACCAAGAAGTACAAGTACAGTATATTAGATTTTTTTTTCATATTAAATGAAATATAATTTTACTAAAAATATCCTGAACATGAAGGTGTTACATTTTTTTTAATTTTTTTTTTCAATTTTCAAATTCATCAAGCGGGCCGGACTGAACATCCTAGCGGGCCGGTTTTGGCCCGCGGGCCATATGTTTGACACCCTTGGCCTAAACAGCGTTGGTCATAATTCCAGTGCAGCTGCGACTGGCTTTTCATGTGGAGATTTTTATTAATGCTTAACTGAGCTCTGCATAAAACCGCGGGCTCGGTTCTACTGAGACTCAAATAATTTTTAATCAATAATTTTTTGAGGGCTCCTAAATAAATCAGCCGAATGCCGTTCCAATGTTGCTATCTCAGTCCCTTTAAGGGAAGGAAAAAAAGGGCTCCTAAATAAATCAGCCGAATGCCATGTCGTTCCAATGTTGCTATCTCAGTCTCTTTAAGGGAAGGAAAAAACCAAACAAACAAAAAGAATGATAAATGATTAAGAAAACACGTGCATAAACACAGGCAGAGAGGACAGAAGACGCCATGATGCAACAGAGGGATGAAAGAAGGAAAGGGTGAAGCTGAGTGAAAAAGTGAAGCGGGAGGAAGAGGAGAAGGAGGAGGATGAAGGGTAAATGAGGGAGGTTGAAGCATAGGGAAAAAAACGGGGCACAAATGAACGGGGTGTATTTGAAATGCTGGTCGTGTGGAGGGAGGGATGGAGATTGGAGAGGGAAATTTCTACGATAGAACCATGCCAGGAAAAAAATTGACATTGAAACAGGTCAAGTGGATATGGAAATGGGAGAAAAGAAGTAAAAAGTGAACATTAAATGGATTTTTTTTTTTAATTCCTGGCACGTTTCACTTAAAGAAATCTGAGTTGTCTTTCTATAGAGACTACAACTCTAGAAAGTTAGAAAGTTTTAATCCCTTATAAAGGCTTTCGTGCGATGAGATTTTTTTTATCCCAAAAAAAATATATACTGTATATATATATATTCACAACTAACTTATTCAGTGTGAAACCTGGTTCTGTTTAGTTGAACAAAACACTGCTCTAATTCCAGGAATTGAAGAAAGACACACAAAGATATTCAACAACTCTTCTTTTTTTTAGTATTTAAAGCCACTTGCTGCCACCTAGAGGATGAGTAATTATCTTTTATGTCTGTCACTGTCCCACTGACGACACCCTACCCTGACACATCAGACCCTTTCATCCCCTCTCTAACTCCACCTTTAATTGTCTACCTCGAATGTTTACTTGTGTTTTTCTGTTCGGAAGACAAGGTTTTTTTCGCAGGAAGTTGACATCTGTATAGAAACAAAGCAGCTTGATGAACCCACACATACAGTACATACAGAGATGTTCCTACGACTGTAAATATTTACCAGCAGTTGCGGTTTGGCACAGTCAGGCAGAAAATGCGCTTGGATTTGCAGCTCTATGATGCGAATTAAGCGCCGCATTCAAGATGTTTTCTATCCACCCCAGCGTATTGAGGCTGCTTAAGCTGATGGGGCACGTATGAAAGTGGTAATCCCACCTCTGCTGACTGCTTAATGGTTCTGATATGGAGACTTGTGAAGACCCTATTTTTAAAACCTAATGGATTTTAAAAAGACCACTCCACCATTTATTACACGGTCTGTTGTTGCATACATTATAACACAGTGCTGTGCATTACTGGGCTGAAAGTCGGTTTAAAGTTACTGTTGAATTTATGTTTGTTTTTTTTTTTTTTGCCATTTGATTGTAGAGTTAGGATAATAGATTATAGATTAGTGGGTGATCGATTTACGACGGAATTCCCTTGCTACAGTGCGACGTAACCTAGTTTTTTCCGTAACTCGGAACTCACATACTGTACATACTTTGTCACTCACCTACGCTAACACAGTGGTGACGTCATAATGTAGGACATAAAAACATCAGAAGAGTCAGATTTACACCTGGGAGCCATAATGAAGGGCAAAAAGTTCCCAAAACCAAAAAAAAGCAAATGTAGCCCAATTCAAAATATATTAGTGTACAAGCGACGAATGTAAACAAAGCCGTCTTCTGGGTATAGCGCCCCGCAACAACATATTCGTCCGCTCCACTGGCCAACTAGTTCCCATGCGATTTTTTTTTTTACTGCCGTATGTCCAAAAGATGGAGCAAGACTCTGGTAACTGTAAACCTCAACTCTTTGTAAACTCTTTGTTTTCATACAAAGAAGTATATGATATATATATTGTCGTATTTAATGAAATATAATTTTACAAAAATGCGTGTTCATTTATTTTCAAAATTCAACAAGCGGGCCAGACTAGGCACACTAGTGGGCCGGTTTTGGCCCGCAGGCCATATGTTTGACACCCTCGGCCTTAACAGCATTGGTCAGTGAAGACCCAGAATAGGCAGATTGTTAGTTTCTTTCAATACCATTTTGGAATTATTATTGATTATTATGAACTCAAGAAATGATCTACCACTTAGGTACTCTAATTTTGGGAGTCAAATATAACTATCTGTGTGCGGTAACTGTTCCCAGCATCAGGGGCCTTTTCTACTGTGGCTATCGTTGGGGTTGAGGTTCAGCAAGGTGAACTGGGCGTG